AACCACGAAATTTGTCATAGAATTTAGTGAAAATCATATATTTGAGTTCATGAGGTTATGGGTAACAACTTTCTTCAAAATTTCCCGTAATCCGGGCACGTGGGTCCGGAGGTAAATTTTAGAAATCCGTCAAATATGGTTGGAAAATCACTTTGATAGTTAAGATATGAACTTTTGAACATGTATTGACTATTTTATATAATATTTGACTAGTTTCGAGTCGTTTGGCACCGAATTGAGGGTTTGAGCACAATCTTGGGCCGAAAAATAGGCTTTGAGATAAGGTAAATCTCTTTTCTAACCTTGTAAGAGGGAATTAACCCCATAGGTGAACTTAATTAATATGTGCTTTTATTTATGGGGGCTATGTACGCACGAGGTGACGAGAGTCCGTATGTAGCTACTATTTATGCTTATGTCCGGGTAGTTTTAGGTTTACAATATGCCTTATTGACACCGTTATTTGATTGTGCTTATTAATTACCTTGAGTAGAGATGAGGTTAAGGATTTCAAGATTTTAAAAGTTTCTAGTTGAATTTCTTGTTTTGGAAAGAATTGAGGGGGTATTATGATGACTTGAGAAATCTATGCTCAACCACGTCGCAAGTATATTCCCTGAGCGGGATAAATTTCCACTACTCTCATGGTAGCAGGTCGTTCGCCTCGGTAGGTCAATAGATGCATCTATGATTCGTGTCGTTCGACCCTCGGCAGTGCACACAGTATATGTATATGTATATTTGGATCGGGATGTACGTTCTAGGCATAATTCGTGCATAATAATACTGAAAGCCATATTATATTTGATATTGTTTCAGTGTAGGATCTGAGGCAAGTGCATTTGGATATCAGTCCGACGCGCATCCTTGACTACTCCGAGACTTTACGGTGAGCTGCCTTCCGAGCCCGTCCTGCAGCAGCCGAAGTCTTCCTTTTGTTTTATTTTTCTGTCTATTTTATTTCAGACAGTAGTGTATTATTCTTTTGTCTATTCTACTAGTAGCTCATACACTTGTGACATCAGGTCTTGGTGATTTATGCTAGTAGACACCTGAGGATTTTTGGGTTATTTTGTTTAACTCACTTGCTTTAAAAATCTTGATCTCTTATTTTATTTAAATTCTTACTTCTTATTTATGCACAAACTAAAAGTCACAAATTTTAAATCTTTAAAGAAAGGATCACAGAGTTAGTTCACTATAGGCTTGCCTAACGGTAACGTTGGGCTCTATCACGGCCTATATGAGAAATTGGGTCGTGATACTTCTTCAGTTATTGAGTTTGCTAAGTCAAATAAAATATATCTTATCACTTCTTCAAATAAATGAGTGATTGATTATGGTGCCACAAATCACATGACAGATAATTCAAAATAAATTTCTAGCTTTCCGTCATACAAAACACCCTCTCCAGTTAATGTAGTTGATGGATCAACTTGTAGTAGTATTGGATCTGGGACTGTTAAAGAAACTTATTAAATTAACATGTTATTTGTATTAAGTCTACCTACCTTGGCCTTTAATTTAATTTCTGTTAGTAAAATCACCAAAGACCTTAATTGTTGTATCGCGTTCTTTCCCAATCATTGTCGGATTCTCAACCTTACAACGAAACATGTTATTGGTAAAGCATATTTATCTGGTGATCTCTACATCCTTGATGAGTGGGAGCCATGACCTGTTGCATGTTCCAGTGTTGTGTCTCATTTTGAAGCACACTGCCGATTAGGACATCCCTGTCTACCTTTGTTGAAGAAGCTCTGTCCTCAATTTTAGAATATTTCTTCATTGGATTGTGAGTCATATCGATTTGCAAAATATCATCGCATCTCGTTAGGTCCAAGGGTTAATAAGCGAGTTGAGTCAGTTTTTGAGTTAGTTCATTATCATGTTTGGGGATCATGTCCTGTTGTTTCTAAAATTGGGCATAAGTATTTTGTCTTTTTTGTAGATGATTTTTCTCGAATGAATTGGATTAACTTTATGAAGAGTCGCTCTAAGTGTTTACTCACTTTTCTGCCTTTTGTGCTGAAATTAAAACTCAATTCAATGCTTCGGTGCGTATTCTAAGGAGTGATAACGCTAAAGAATACATGTTAGAGTTATTTCAGTCTTATATGAGACATCATAGTATACTACATCAGTATTCATGTGTTGATAGACCCTCTCTAAATGGAGTTGCTGAGAGAAAGAATAGACATCTGTTTGAGACAACTTAGGCACTTTTATTCCAAATGAAGGTTCCTAAATAGTTATGAGCTGATGCGGTCTCTACGGCTTGTTTTCTAATTAATCGCATGCTATCTACTGTGTTTGGTGGTGATGTGCCTTATAGTGTTATCTTCCAGACAAGTCATTATTTCCACTAGAACGTAAGGTGTCTAGATGCACATGTTATATTCGAGATATTTGAGTATCTCTTACCAATGTGGATCCCAAGGCATTGCAATGAGTTTTCTTGGGTTATTTTCGCCTCCAGCAGGGGTTTCGATGTTACTTTACTGAATTTGACTAATATCTGGTGTCAACCGATGTGGTATTTTCCAAGACTACACCATTCTTCTATGCACCTCTCATTTCTACAAGTTAGGGGGAGGAAGATGAGTGTCTAGTATATTAGGTTACTCATGCTTTGACAGAACAACCAGATGATGTTCCTCATTCTCTTAATTCTTCTATTGAGCACCAATTGACTACTGTGTCTTTAGCACCTACTCCAACTATGTTAGCAATATTTTTTACTCGAAAGAGGAACCTTAACTTCAAGCTTAATCTAATTAACTGTTGAATTCGTGAGAATCAACAGTATTATAGAGTGAATTAACTCAAGAATTGGATCCTGAGTCAGTTATCCTGCACATATCTAGCCAAGTATCCTTATTTCTCTCATTGATATTTCTTCGTTGCTTATCTGTTGTCTTTTGTGATCAATTTGTTAATTGCTTAATTTTTAGTAGTTAATCGGAGTAATTGTCGTCACATCAAGTGTTAATTTTCCTGGATAGCAATCAACTGAATATTAGTCGAATACTATTTAAATCAAATCCTTGTGGAGACAATAATTAAACTATACTATCTTTGACTAGCGAGCAATAATTTTGTGCTGTGTTTTGCGCTCGTCAACTACGTAGGTGTATTTGGATAATGGCAGCAGTATGCAATAAATATTCCAGAAATCAAAGGCAATAATGTCGCATTCAATATTAATGAATAACAATAAATGACATTTAAGTAAATAGAATGAATGAGTCACCTAAAAAGGATGGAATCAGTGAATGTCCTTCGTGACAATAATGAGGGATGGATAATCCCCATAGAGCTACATATTTTAGGACTCCCCATAGAGCAGGGGCGGCTCAACAGTATTCGGGGCCTAAAGCCAAACTTCAACGAAGGGCCCTAAGTTTTTCCATATTTAAAAACTCATTTAATACAAATTTATTTTGAAGTTTATTTTTCTAGCTTTTTGAGATGTAAATTTTTTAATAATTTATTTATAATCGATTATATATATATATATATATATATATATATATATATTTCTACTTTCTAGAGTTATTATTCAATTCTTTTAGGATTTCCAGATTTTCTAAAACATCTTTGTTAAACTCTCACCAACTTCTTCTTCTTCTTGGATTCCATTCTCTTCTAGCTCAATTATATTAGTAATTTGTTTATCTACCATAAATTCTTCCTATTTTGGGGATTATATTAAAGTTTCAATTCTTCTCTCTTTTTTTGGTATTTTTAATATGCGGATTCATATTTCTTTGTTGACATATTAATATTCTAATAAATTAAAAAAGATAATACATATACTTACAATCAAAAGATATTAAAAAAAAATTTTAGACGAAAGTAATAAAAAAAAGTATAGAACAATTGAACCCAGTTTAACAAATAGTAATAGATAACTTGATATTACTTTTGCTATTTCAATATTTTTGGTGCAATGCCGGGAAAGCTTGACAAAAAAGGAGTTTGAAATTGCTTTATGCTATCATATTTGGCAGAATATTTTATGAGACAATGGACTTATAAATCTAGAAAGGCTAAAAGGAATATAAAAGATTAAGTAAAAACTAGTTTAAAGAGAAAGTAATAAAAGTAACGCAGGTCTTGTGATAATAATCATAATATATAAAGGAGACAAGAAATATATCTGTTTTTATTCCCAAATTATCTTTATCGGTCCCATAATTTCCTTATTTATGAAAGATATACTTTTTTTATATATACTAAATATTTTAAAAAAAATTCATCAAATACAGATACAACTATTTAATACAGTACTAGAAAATTTTGGGACCTCTTTAGATATGGGATCTCAAGCAATTGCTTGAGTGACTTTACCCTTGAGCCGCCCTTGCCATAGAGCTATATATGTTTGCTAATCTATAGATTAATACATCAACTATTCTATCATACGTTATTTATTACACACAACAAATAATTTTCCGGATTAGGAAACAATACTTTTATTGGGTTTTTGAAAGATAACCCCTACGCCTAAAAAAAACCTACGCTTACAGAGTGAGAGGCGAAAGCTATTATCGGAACTTTTACAAGGTAAAAATGACCCCAAATCCCAATTAGTATCCATTATACTAATTGGTTTATGAAAAATTTTCTATGGTTTACAAATCCGGAAATTTGACCTTTTTCTTTAGGTATCACTTGTAGAATTGTAATCGTGAAATTTTTGCTTTAATTAGTTACTTTTGTCTAAAGATTTATATTTTTGTGAGACGACTTTTCAAAGATCATAGGCATGATAAAGTAACAAGTGTATACTCTCTAACCAAAAAATGAAACAAATGCATCGACCAGGTTCGTGGTAGAAAGTTACTTCCTTTATCATCCAACCTTATTTCTGGATTTTAATCTTGATCCTACCAATAGGTTAAAACTTAAAAACTTGTACTACAACTTTTCGCAGATACACCTGTACAACATTTCTTCTATCAACAAAACTACAAGCAGGTGGTTATTGGCCCAAATATGCAGTCGCTCAACAGGAAAGAAATGAAACTTATCAAAGATAACTTGTTTGTTGATACATGGTCATTCTCTTAGCCGATCTGGATTTCAAGTACAAAATTAAACTGGTCGAAACAGATGATAACACCCCATTGTCCTGCTGTAACCTAGTCTCTCTTACTCTTATTTGTCTTGCTATTTTTGTTATATTCGCCTGCTTCCACTGAGAATCCCTTGTTTTAGCCTAAGGGCACGTCAAGTTCGTAATACTATATACATTCAACTGTGCTTCTTAGACACAATTGAAGCACACCATACCTTTTATCTTATCCTCCTATTCTAGTTCTAGAGTAAAATGGTAATTTAGACTCTAACAAATTGGTATTACTAGTTACTTCTTCCTTCCTAGAGTTGTAGCCAACAGAGTAGATTAATAGGGACTCTTTGCTCAATATGACTTGATTTCCACGGGCACAAAATGCATGCTCCTGCCTTGTCTGAATCAGTCAGTCTCATAACTCATAAGCACATCTGATAGAAACATGAGAGTTTTGGATAGTTTCATCAAATACAGGACGCATATATCTAAAACATGCAATTTTTTACAGACATCTTCACGCGCATTAATCAAGCCACCTAGCACAGTACTTATGAGTACTTCACACAAGTTGATCACCAGTTTCTAATTATATCCTTGTTAAACCAAATACGATGGCAATTGTGGCGAGAACAGCCTGCAATACGCAACAGCATCAGATGGAGGTATTAAGTTAAGAAGAACATGTTGTCATCTTCTATCACTCTACATCTCAAATAGCTAGTTTACCATAATAGACAAACTTCCGATTAACCAGCTTTCTACCAGTTGTGTGCCATTTCATTGACAAAATTCTTAAATGAATCTTGAATTAATGCGCATTTATTTTCACTCTCATGCAGGTGATCATAATTTATTAAGCTTGGATGTGCTAAGAGTGTAATGGTCTTTCTTTTGAAAGTATTCGTGAAATTCTGCACCTACATCATGTCTACTGTAATTGAACCTGTTTACCTCCTGCTATGGAACTCTAGAAGAAGAATGAAGATTCTTTTCAAATAATATCTCCACATTTACTAACTTATGAATCATAGTTTTTCCCTTCATAATCTAATGTTAGTTAATCAGGATAACCATAAAAGTGAAAAATTAGTGCATAGACCGCTTCTACAATAACTTGCAAAGTTATGTTATTAACCATGACCTTATAAGGCCTGCTGATGCCATGAGGAAAAACTTGTTAGAAGTGAAAGACAAGTTGAAGGTATCACCAAAAAGAAAAAACGATAAAAGAAAGAGACCACTTACAGCAATGGTGCTTGTAACATATCCTGGTTTCTCTCGATGATCAACTGATCTAGTGCAGAGCAGGATAAATGCAGCAACATACCAAGGGATGGCAGCAAGAAAGAAACCAGTAATGAACCTTCAAAAAACAAAAATAGAAATCTCACTTCATTGTATTCCAGACATCCTTTAACTGTATAAGGAAGGTCAAACTGCAGCATTACATGGTACCATAAAATAATACTCCTAAAAGTAACACCTGAAAGACAGACCTTTGCTCTAACCTCCATATCGGATACTGTTTGCTAAACTACACTTTTGACAAAGAAGTTCAATAGAAGCCTTTCAGTCATTATTCTGTGATCAAAGATCCCACTACCTTTATCTCTAATATGAACTATGTTAGCATTAATGTACTTGAGAAACTTCTCTTTTTGTCCTTCCCAGAGAATAAACAGCTTCCAACACATTCAAGGTTCTTTTTTCTTTTAGCTTACTTTACCGATTAGTGAGGTATTAGAGAAAATAGAAGAAAGAAGAAACTCATATGCAAAGGAGCATGTCAAGCCCCTTAGATGCCTTTTACCACTAAGATAATTTCAATCCATCTACAATTTGTGATGGTATTCAAACTGGACTTAATGCTCCATCAAAACATGTTTTCGGAGGGGAACATGAAAGAGCAAGTATAAGCATTTTCTAGTTTACATTTTCCAAAGGGCAAACAGGACGTATTTTTTCCTTTTCTTCCATTAACTTTGACTTTTGAGTGGTTATCTAGTTGAATGACTCCTCTAAAGTGGCAGCACATCTCTACCTTCCCTGGAACCAGATAAGAAGGAAGCACAACATGTTATATCTGTCTTGTGCCAAAAAGATTCCAGAATCAGAGGACATACTGTTAGCAATAATGAATCAGAACAAAACCTACTGTTAGCAAAAATGAATACTGCTGAATTTAAACCTCAACATGTGACTAAACAAAGAAAGTCAACATAATTGGACTAGGAATGTGATGTTATCAGTCTTTGGGTAAAGAAAATAGGGAACTTACAAGAACCAGCCAAGACCAATACCACAGCAAGGAAGGCGAGGCTCTCTCACAGGTCTCCTCTCATCAACCGCATAGCCTAATATACAAGGAAAAGAGCCAACAAAGTTAAAGTGCCAACAGTTCTTACATACTTAACAAACAACAGTTTATGTCCCAAATGCCAGAACTCAGTAAATGTCCAAAGAGAACAATTACAATCCGGAAAACTATACTTCTTTACATGTTACACTTAGTTCATCAGAAACATATTTAGTAACAAAATAAACTGTAATGTAGGGAGGCAATTGTATTTACTCAGCGTGTACAATTAACGGCTTGAACTCAACCAGCTCTTTTTACACGGAGCATAAATGTACATGTGAAAAGTAACTAATATTTCAAGAAATATTAAAATATCAACCATCATAGTTGAAAAAGTGCATTGTGCTCAATGGTGACTGGTGAGAATGTAGAAGTTAATCTTATCAAGTTTAAATCACCGATCCGCCTTTGTATTTACTAACTATAGAAGAAAGAGAGAGAAAGTAAGCAAAGAATGCACAAATGTGAAGCAGTGCGCACAGAGTGTCACCGATATTATCCAGCAGAATTCTGAAATTTAAATCCATAGAACAAATAAGTAATCTAACTTTTTCAACTAAATCTAAAAACAGATAGTTTTCTGGTTTACATACTCAGCATAATTCAACTGAATGTTGCAAAAGACACAAACTTATCACCCAAAAATCAAATAAAGTTGAAGTATTTCAAGAAATGAATTTGTACAGATATTGATGGTGAATTATGAGGAGCAAAGGGGGTTACCTGGAACAGCCTGATAACCACGAGCATAGTATTCAGGGGAAGGTTCAAATGCCCCCGGTGGAGGTACTGGTTGAGGGAAACCGACTACCGATTGAGGAGGTGGTTGAAAAGTACCATATTCTGCTGCTGCTGGTGGAGGTGGTTGGTTTTCCTCATGGTGATGATGGTGGTGGTGATGGCCATGGTGATGATGATGATGACTATCCTTGCCTTCTTCACTAATAATTGATCTTGGAGTTTTCAACTAAAACTAAGTAGTCCAGTTGAAATCTTTGTTAGAGAAGAAAAAACAAGAACTGTTGCCTGTGTTTATTGTTTGCTTACTTGTGGAGTAAGCTCATTGGCTCCTAGCTATCATCTTGTTTGACTAATTATCAGCTCCCACGTGGTGTTTTTGTCCCCCACATAACTATCTTGTTTTACGTGAACTTGTTTAATTGAATTAAATGGGGACTTTTGAAATTTGTAATTTTTGATATTCTCGGAACATGTTTATTTCCTTTACTCAACCTCTTCATTATGAGTAGAAATCATTTCCAATTGATTTAATTATAATTTGAAAGCTTACCTAATTTCTGAAACTACTTCGTTGTCAATTCTTCTACTATTCTCTTTCTACAATTATTTCAGTTTGGCATAGAACATGGGAATTGGGACCTGCTACTGTTTGTCCTTCAAATTCTGCTTGCATTGCACAGTCAATGCTGCTCAAAAAGGAGTATTTGGCACCACTTTCTAAATTCCAAACAATAAAAGAAAAAGAATTTGAAAAAGGCGGACTTCGAGCCTGTTTGGCCAAGCTTATGGGAGGCTAACAGTATTTTTTTTGCCAAAAAAAGTACTCTTTCCGATCCACAATAAGTGCTCAATTTGCCTTTTTTATTTTGGTTCAAAATAAGTGTCCATTTATATAATAAAAATTAATTAATTTTTTTTTCAAAATTACCCTTATATATGTATCCCTAATAAGTCTTTTACTCCCCACATTAAATTACACTGCAACATTTAATTAAAGGTAATTTAGTCACACTACCTATTTTTGTTTAGATTTTAGTATTTCCTTAATGGGTGTGCTCAAGGCAAACTGGTCACTTATTGTGGACCAGAGGAAATATTTTTTTAGAAATTTGATGTGTTTGGCCAAAATGGAGAAGTGCTTTTGACCAACAGCAGAAGCAGATTTAATTTTAGTTTCTTCTAAAAAGCAATAGCAGAAACAGAAAATTAAATTTTTTTAAGACAAAAGTATCCTTACTATAAATTTATTTTTTCAAATTATCCTTCAAAAATTTTATTTTTTCCTTTTTTTCGACCATCCCTTTCTTTTAATTTATTTTATTTCTATTGTATTTTTATTCTCCTTCTCCTATTCTTCTTTAAAATAGTCTCTCCACCATAAATAGAACCTTTTTTAAAATATAGCATTAATGAAGTAGATTCTAAAATTATAAAGATTTAAAGTGGGTAACCAGGTGGCTCTGGAGGCACATGTTTAGCAAGGATAGCTAATGTGCGCCAACGATGATGACTCGCCGAAAAAGTAATCTGAACCCTAATTTGCAACAATCGAAGACGCCTAACGAAAATAAGGATAATAATAATCGAATGGTAACGCCTGAACCGCGAATCGCACAACAACTAGCTCCGGTGCAATTGCTACACTGGATGCTAGGGATGGGGAGTATACCGACAATCATGCAAGCTCCGCCGCCTAAGGAAGCTAAAATTACTAAACTAACGGAGAATACTATGGCTACGACAGCAAGGTTGACCAATTTTGCTGGATCTAGGGAAGCAAAGAGAACCATGTCATATGTGGTCGGACAAACAGAACAACGCATCAAGCACTGCAACTCAATTTCTACCCACCTGAGGTTAGGGATGGAGTAAAAATTATTAAGCTTAACCAGAAAGAAATCGAGCAGCAATTTCAAAAATGGGAATTGGCACTCATAGGTATGGGAGGGAATCCAACATTCAAAGAGATGTTGAAATTTGTTTATGAGGTTTAGGGTTCAGTCACTACACCAAAGGTACTCTTAAATGATGATGGTTACTTCATATTTCGATTGAATTAGTAGGGGGAAAATTACAAATTATGGGAAAGGGACCATACACATTCAATAACAGACCTATGGTACTGAAGAATTGGGAACCTGATTTTGAGTTTAACAAAGAGCATATGCGTGTGATACCATTTTGGGTCACCTTCCCAGTTTTACCTATCAAATGTTGGGGTGAGGGAAATCTAGGAAGAATTGCGAGTTTCTTGGGAAAGCCTATATGCATAGACAAACTCACAGCTCAGTGTGAAAGAATATCCTATACTCGAGTGCTTATAGAAATGGATATTACCCAGTCCTTACGAGATGCACTAATATAGAGCATCCTGATGACGGCATAAGGGAACAAATAGTAGGTTACGAATGGAAGCCTAAATTATGCCAGGAATGTAGTCAATTTGACCACTCTAATGGAGAATGTAAATTGGAACAACAAGCACAGAAGCCAATGAAGAAGAAGAAGGTTAAGAAGCAGAAATGGGAGTTGAGAACTAAAGTTGTCACAACTGAGGAGATAGAACCCCCTAATGCTGACAAAGTAACTAATGACAAGAAGGATCTACATGAAGATCCACAGGAGGTTCAAATACAGGTTAGGGAAAGAGGCAAACAAGCAATGGTATATCATGATAGATCAAGTAAAGAAGACAACCAACAATTGATTATGAGGAGTTGACCAAGAGAAATAAGTATGCTACATTGAGGATTCAAGAGAGTGAGCCTCCTGATATTAATGGAGGTACTGAGCATAGCCAATCTCAGAGGTTTAACAAAGGGCATACTCCAACCACTATACCAATATCATGATATTCAGCACGTGGAATATATGAGGACTAAACAAGTCCTTTAAGCAGAGGGAGTTTAAAACTTTCTTAACAACAAATAGAATTGATATGGTAGGGTGTTTGGAGACTATTGTTAAACAGAACAAAGCAAGGATTATTCAAAAAAGATAGGTCGAAAATGAGAATTTATTGATAACTACTTTGAAGCACCTAATGGTAGGATCTAGTTGGGCTGGAAGGCAGCAAATGTGAATCTAGTGGTGTTGAAGTTATCTTCACAACTGATTCATTGCCATGTACAAGATAGAAATTTTGTATTCCATAGTTATCTAACTATTGTGTATGGGTTACATGTTATTGTCGATAGAAGACCTTTGTGGGATCAATTGAGGAACATTAATGCAGCAACTAGAGGTCCTTGGTTGATCATGGGGGACTTCAATAGTGTCTTATCAGTGGGGGACAAAATAAATGTGACACCTGTGCACCATATTGAAGTAGCGGATTTCAAGCAATGCATTAGTGACATTGGTGTAGGGTTAATAACCAAGAAAGGGGCTCAATTTTCCTGGACTAATAAGGGGGAGCTGAAGATAGGATATACGGTTATATAGACTGGGTGTTTGGTAGTACTGAATGGTTCTGGTCTTATGCAGGTGTTGAAGTCATCTATTTACTGTCCGGATGCTCAGACTACACATTTGTTCTATTAAACATGAAATACATAGAGTGTGCTGATACCCAATTTTTCCCTCACATATTTTAATACATATATATACTTTCAAAATATACATATGCAGTTATAAGCATGCATAAGCTTTTTTATAATTTTTTATAGTTTTAAAGACTCCAAATTAATTTATTTCTCCTCTTTTATTATATAAATATCCAATAATTATTCTTCATACTACTTTTGTGATGATTTAGTCACTTAAATTTATTATTTATGCCAACATAGTGTTTAAATATTTTTAGTGTATTTTTGTAATTACATTTATATTTTTTAAGCTAAATTGCATATTTTTGCAAAAATAGCCCGTACTAATGTACAATTACATAATTTATGCATAAAATGATCTTTTATATTTTTAAAATATTAAAACTATTTTAAATCATTTTTAGTGCACAAAGATATTTTGGTATTCATTTATCATTTTTTACAAATTATTTAGTTATTAAATTGTCTATTTAAAATCTGGCCCCATTTTCTATTCAATTTTGATTATAAATTGGACCCAATACTCAACCCAATTTTAACCCAAAACATACCCAACCCAAACCTAATACCCGATCCGGCCCCAAACCCTTTCAATCTCGGCCGTTGATCACAGAGATCAACGACCACAAATAAACCCTTCTTTTTTTTGCCCTAAACGACCCCAAAACCTAGCCATTTCTCACCAACACCCCCCTTTGGATCCCCTCATCTCTTGTTCTCTCCGAAACCAACCCCTGACCCTAATCGTCGTCACCCAAAATCAACCCTAATCCTCTGAATCCTTGTCCGATCTATGGCGTCCTATGGTTGTACGAAGCCTTTACTTGTCTCGTATCCCCGTGGTTATTCGATTATGTGATTTTGTGGAAGAACCTCAAAGAGATCTGGTCCAGATTTCGTTCAAAGCTCTTCAAGGGTTCGTCCATAATTTGCGAGTAATTTCTATTGGAGTTCCATGGTTCAAGTCTCTGGTTCAAAACTAGATTTTCTTTACCCCTCCCATCTCTCCTTAAAACCCTAATCTTTGACCATGAATCCGTCCCTATCTTTGTAGATCTGGAAGGATTCTGAGTTTGTCAATGACTTTTCTTTAAAAATCTATTATTTCTTTACTGTTAACCGATTTTAGCATTATATTTTGGGTTCTTTGCTATCTACTGTTTGGATCTCTGCATTCTTGAAGTGTTTTCAAAGTTTTTGTAATTTTTCTTTAAGTTTCTCTTATTCCTCTACTAATGACCGATTTTAAACACTACAATACTTCAAGTTTTTGACTTCTATGACTAGGGTTTCCCGAAATTTTCTTTCCCCAAAATGTTTGATAATTTTGAGTGCTTAACCTTCTATTTCTTATGTGTTCTAACCAATTTCATGAGGTTTGCTTTAACCCTAACTCGTTTATGCTAAAAGCCCTAATTTTTCGACATTATTGTTTGGATTCTAAGTTTGTCTAGGTTACTTGTGTACTGACTTTGCCCTATGCTTTGGTATCTGCGATTCTTCCTCCTAATGTGCCTCTATTGATGTTCTTGGTTTGAATTTTTGCTTATTCTATATATCTATGTTCATTTTTTGCCTATTCATGGCAAACCTATACTTTTCTCCTTAAATCAGTGATTGATTTGGATTCTTGATTTATCAGTTTGTTTTGTTAAGACCTATGTGTTGATTCCTGACTATTCTTTTTATTTACAATCTTGATTAGCTTTATTACCTTATTCAATTAACCGTGATATTCACTGATTCTTTACTGATCATTTCGTTAATTAAACTTCTATCTATTTACCCCTAATTGCTCGTTTGCTTTTCTTTCCTTAAATATATTCTGCCTTTACCGTTGGTTAATTACCCTTAATTAAGGGAAAATTACACTAATTGGTGTATAATTGATTATGTGGCTTCCTTAATTACAGAAGGGTTGATTCCCTTTACCTTATTTTTCCTTGCTCTTAACTGCTATATATACTCTCCTTACTCCTCACTTTTAGACATGAACATTAGTTCATCTACACTCTCAAAAGCTCTATATTCTCTTATGTTACTTGTAATTCTCACTAATCCAACCGGTTGTAAGCCAAGGCTGGCTACTTACACCATCTCTGCTCTATACTCTGTATTCTCTCCT